AAACTTGCCTGCTTGTATACGAATGCTCAGGTTATTTTTAATAAACTGGCCAAACTGAAAGATCGCCAAGCTTCCGGGTCATTTGATATCATAGCTATCACTGGGGAGTGCTTTCATACGGGAATGCCGGACGCTGAAGTGTCGCTACCCGGCATGTCGCTGATCCGGAACGATACGCTCAAATAGGAGGAGGGATAATCCTGTATTACCGAAACGACTTAAAGTGCGAAGCCGTGGAGGATTCAGTCTCGCAGTCCCCCAACTCTCTTTGGTGCCGGTTGCAGTTAAAATCAGGGACGCTTGCCTTATTGTCTTGGTGTACCGCCTCCTAACTCTATACCCGAAACCGAATGCCACCTAGCAGCTGCTTTAAGCTGCAGTTTACAGCGAAAGTACATACAGATGCTTATCATGGGTGATTTCCACGTACATTGTGTGAAAACTTCTGCCATGATCGGAGAAAAATTCAAAGCCGATCTACAAGATCTCGTAATCTTTGTTCCTCTTTACAATCACATCACTTTACCCACTCGGTTCAGAACAGGTAACAGACCATCTGTGCTGGATCTTGTGCTTACCAACGAGGAGCATATGATTGATGTGTTGGTTTTAGACTGCCCATTGGTTCGCAGTGATCACGCCGTGATCAGTTTCAACTTCGTCTGCTATGCAGAATATCGGAATGAGAATGATGAGACTGTGCGAACCATCACAAGCTGCGAGCAATTAGCCTAGCTCGTCAACGCTACAACTTGGTTGTTCCTTGCCGAAGAACCCCTGGAAGTTGCCTGGCTCGAGTTCGTCAACAAATTCAGTCAGCTGCTTGCAGAGGCTTTAGCAATAAGACTGCAATAAGTGTGCATCAGTTTCTTTCGTTAGGAGCAGGACACGAATATGAAGGACAGTACGCAACGCGGCATGGCGAGTGTACAGGAAAGCTCCAGCACCAAAAATCTTGGGACAACCACGTAGCCAAACGTAACCATTGCACTCAACTGTTAAGAGAAGACAAAGCCGCATATTAGCAGAACATCGCAAAAGCCTACAGTGCTAATCACAAACTGCTGTACAAGCAGGTCAATAGCCTAAGGAAGTTGATGCAAGTATATCCTCCACACAGGACGGCCGATGGCCCAACAAGAACGGCTGTGGAAGCAGCAAACGCGCTGCGGATGCAATATGCCCCCACGTTTCAGTGGGTCTTGCCAGCAAGCGATCTTCCAATCTTTGTCGTCTCTTCGCCAAAACTAACCCACATCAGTTTGCCACGGAGGCTGTATTGCAAAAGTTGTCGTCTCTAAGCAAACACAGCTTGCCGGGTGTCAACACTATTCCTGCAGAGGCACTGGAAGTAGCAGGAAGCCAACTGGTAGGGCCGTTAGCTCAGTTTTTCCAGCGCTGCTTAAACCAGAAGCAAGTGCCCACCATCTGGAAGCTTGGAGTAATAACCCCGCTTCACAAAGGTGGAAGCAGAACTGATCCCTCCAACGACCGCCCAGTATCCCATCTCCCTATACTCTCCTAGGTCATGAAATCCATAGTTGCCGATGCACTGGTGTGCTATCTGGAAAACAGTAACATCATCACGCCTGAGCATCACGGTTTCTGCCGACAGCGGTCATTAAAAACGAATTCACTAATTGCAGGAACTCGTTGGACCGAATCAGCTGAAGGTGGAGATGGCCTTGATGTGATCTACTGGGATTTTTCGTATGCATTCGATCGGATACGACTCTCCAAGCTGCAGCATTAAAGGGATCGGTGACCGTCTTTTAAGCTGGATTGGCAACATTCTAGTTCAACGACAATTAGCGGTTAGAATTCGGAGCTCTTTATCGGTCCCCATACAAGTCGAGTTTGGTGTGCCGCAGGGCTTAATTCTAGGTCAACCTTCGTTTTTGGTGTTTATTAATAACCTTGCCCAAGGAATCGCTTCAAACTTATTAATGTTTGCCGACGATATCAAGATTTGGCGCAGGATCCAGGCGAACGCCGACCAGCATCTGCTTCACACTGACCTATATGCGATGTATCAATGGTCAATCCAAAACTTACTACATTTCAACGTCAGTAAATACAAAGTACTTTCCATCCGACATCAGAGCAGTTACTCATACAGGCTCGTAACCAATATACTTCAAAAATCAGCTGTCGAACGTGTCTTGGGTGTCCTGATTCAAGATGACTTCGGTTGCACCAGGCCATCCAAAAAGGCCTCGAAGACTGGGAACCAACACGTCCGGCTGTTGCGACGGGGGTTTGGACAAATAAACTGCTCCATATTTTGACAAATGCTCAGTACGTATGTTCCCTCGCCATGTTAAATATGCAATTCAAGTCTGGTATCCATGGCTGAAACACGACCTTAATGCACTGAAGTAGCCACAACGTCGGGCATTTAACAACGTAATTGAAATGCGTAATCTTTCACACCAGGTGAGGCTGAAACGATTGCGGGTATTCAGAGGAAGATATCGCAGGCGACGAGACGACCTGATTATGGCATACTTGATTCTGCATGATCCCCAGCATGTGTGCTGCCCTTTACTGCGACTCAGCACCAATACAACCCTGAGTGGTCACTTATTGAAACTCGCTGTACAGGATAGCCGCCTGGAGTGCCGCAGAAATTTCTTTTCCACTTGTGTTTGTCACCCGTGGAATACTCTCCCAGAATCGGTCGTCTCTGCACCAACACTAACAGTATTTAAAAGACGGTTGGATGACACACTCATCCACTAACACTTTGTCACTTAGCCCTATGTCTCCATCCTATACCTGGAGTTTACCATGGAATTATTTGATGTGAACTGTAGGTGTTGTGAATCTAAGCGGATTGCAAGACTACAGCGGAGCAAACGATAAGTCCTTTTTTCATATTAAAAGTACTAACTGTTTTGCTATTATTATTATTATTATTATCATTATTAGTATGTTGATCTCACCAACTATCTAACGAGACTTGTCTGGTAACGCTTTTTAACCCGTATAAATTCATTGTTCTTTGTCCGTTGTGATAACGGCAATCGGTATAACGAAGGTATGTGGCTTTTAAAAGCCTCAAGAACGTATCAGGGTGACCGGATGTTAGAGTACTTGTTGATGGAAGGTGGTACAACGGAGGGCTGCCCTCGTTGGTTTTGTATAGATCAGAGACCTGGCCCTTACACCCCCACTTCACCCGAGACTGTCAGCGTTTGATCACTAATGTATACGGATTACTGATCGCATTTGGTGAAACGGCCGAGATACTATTGACGAATTTTGTCATTTAATGCTAACAAATACGCGTTATAGTGGGTCAGCGGATTGTCCTCTGATACTTTATCTTGTGCGCCGAATACCTACCTGCTGGCTGCCTTAGATGTGTTGTTTAAAGCTACTCTCACTAGTCGGTACTTGTCATCATCCTAGCTGGGATCACTGGATCGACCAGACTACTGTGGGTCTGGAGCGATCACAGACTAATTTCCCATTTTACATTGGTTCCGTTATTTGTGACTAGTTACACTTTTTAACGATCGCATTACTTTTCCACTTTTTAAAACTATCGGTAAACTTATTGACACGTTGGCCACAACACACAATGCGACCTGATCCCCTGATCTTCGGTGGTGATTTTACTTGACAAATTAAACAGGACTCGGGTATTTTTTCAATGTTATTTCCGCAATGCGCTTCTAATTCGCTCAGTCCACCATACCTCGGCTTTCGGTTCATAGTTGATTACCTGGACATAGTGTAATACAAACTACTTGCTTTACGTGATTGCTCGTGACGTTCCGCCACTGTGGTATCTGAAATCTTTGCTACACGAAATTGTGAAATGCGTCAACTTCTGAAAGCGTAAATCTATTTGTCGCAACACTTCACACACAGTGGTGCTAATTAGTACCCATATATCTCTCTGTATTTCTGCTCCACTGATCTTGAAGACTAACCACGACCCACGAAATTTTATCAATTTTCGAGTGACATGCGGTTCGACGGTCCAGCTTCATTTCTTACACCACATAAAACAAATTGTTAGCAAGTCGTTTTTGAGCATCTAATTCAAGCTCGCTTCCGGAGCCTCTTCAATAAAATTCAGTGACAAGCACTGGATGTGGATTAGCCAACTGCTTCACAGCATTGTGGCTATTTGACCGCTAATCTGTATTGGTCCACACTTTTCCCATGGATGATAACCTAATTGGCTGTCAGTAAGCTGAAACGAAATCGTCTGTTTTTACCTCACTTATCTTTTTACTTCTTTACCTACTAAGATACGTTTGCTCCAAACTGATACCTAAACTGGCACATTGTGATAATAATAAGTTCTTTCACCTGTTTACTTCTCGCAATATACTGTGAGCATATTTTCTCTGATAAAGTTTTACTCTGGTGCACCACAAGCTTAAGGATCTGCTCCAGTGCTTACTCCAGCCTACCGACCTGGCATTTCTGTCCCCTTTGCTTTAAGGCACCATTTGTTCATTTTCTCGGTACTCCCATCTTGGCTACGCCTTCAAACGAAGTGGAAAGCGAACTTATTCACTATGGAGATGTTAAGTCATTGTCTCTACTAACCATTCGTCGTGCGAACTCTGATTTCTACGAGTAAATGTTTTATTAAGATCTTTTCGTGCACTATCGCTTTCTCCGCAGTCAGCGACCATTTGTCATTTTCAGTTGAATTGGCTGTTTACCCCATAATTTAACCGGAGCGCACTGTGTGAACGGTGAATATTTGTGGATTTATGTTGCCGATTGTCAAAATGATCTCAAGGCACTTGCCGGTTAATCACATCACTTTTTATCATCTGGTCAAAGGGAGTTGATTTATATTCAGTTTAATTCAAGCATGGACTTTATGCGCCCATGCGGGGGGATATTCAGCTGTTGCCCGCTTGTGGCACTTCGTTCTTCGGATATCACAGGTATGGCATATCTTGATACCGTTTACTAAAGTGTATTGGGTAATTTGGTGTTTCCCGAGCATCTATAATGAAATCACTCACCAACCAATTTGGTGGCCAATTCTTCTGGTTTTCCCTCTCCAAGAATGTCGGGGATCAGCCACTTCCTGTACTTGTTAATAAATCCTTGCAGGTGCTCTTCTGCAGGCCTCAACACTGGAGTCAAATAAATGCAAAAAACGCAAAATTGTAGATATTGGATCATTTTGATCATGAAACTGTTGAGCTTGCCTATTAATGTTTAACACAGATACCGTAACATTTCGACTATAGTGACTATGAAATCATTTGTACACTGGAATTGGTATAAGTTTATCATTGCAGATGACTTGATAGACTATGGATTAATGTATTGTAATGGCTTACGGCGTTTCGCTTTCGACACGATAACATCTTTCCTTGATGAATCTACTTTCACAAAAGCGAAACATCGCACCCTCAAATACACTTACTGGTATTTCTCTAAGCCTTTTGAAACTATGAATTTCCTATCCGTACCGAGCATGTTCATTATTAAATATAATGTTCTTATTTCCAGCGTGCCACACTAGTGACGGCATGCTCAGGTTAATAAAATCATCTCTAGTTCATCGATATCGAGTGCTCAAACATGTGGAACGGTAATGCAAATCCGTTTTCATTTTTGATACGGCGTAAGAGTCAATTGTTGTTCCGGTGTTGTATACAATGTCTAGGTTGGTAAGCCCATTGAGAATATGGATACAGAAATTTGCTTAATAAGTGTATAATATATGCGCAAATTTTCTTTAAGAACATTTTGACGGCTCAGTTAAACATTTCTCACACATGATGATGTGCACTCGTAGCTGTCTGGAGATGCCCTCCGTTTATTTGAGTATGTCGTTCAAATAATGCCTGAAGTTGATGGAAGTGTGAAGTTGAAGTACTGGTTGTGTGAATGAATTAAGACGCACAATATCAACGTAGACCGCATTTACATTAAACTGAATCTTGGTCACTGCGATCACTAACAGCGTCGTCGAAGCAGATAGAATTTGGGTGTTGCCCTCCCGAAAACACTGCGTATCTAACCTTCTCTTACTCCACACTTGTGTTCGAAGCAGAATGTTGAACCTTATATATATCTAACCAGTGAGCACAGCACACACGGAAACAAAATTGAACCCTTCAACCTGCTCCAAGCACACTTCCGTACTTAGCACACGTCTTACTGGTGTCGTATTATTAAGCAATGTGCAGGACCATTGTTTATTCGATTAATAAACATTCTTCTCGTTACTTTCGTGCCTTCTTCCCAACTAGATGCCTAGGTTCTCGCCAGCAGCCAGTTGGCTGTTAGCGCGAGTCACTCACTTCCGATACCCTATGAGCTTCATCCTGACCAGAATCGTCAGAAGAAAGTATTCTGTTTATCAACAGTGGAAACAGTACCATCCACTCTGCATTCACGATACTGTGGCTAAGAGAGGTGGATTAAAAATGTATTGGCAACTATATTGGTCGTTCCCAACTCCGGGACGTGTAGGATTAGGGTCTAGGGTTCTATCCCCAGCGGAACAGATGGAATGAAAACTTCTGACTCTCCCAGAGAAGAAAATACCTTATTGCGATGCCTTTTCGGACGTGTGATGGCTGCGCGAATGAGCCTATTGATGAACTTTATTTGTGCCGTCTGAATCACTGCAGGGACAATAGCAAAGATAACACATACACAGTGTTATGACATGTTGCGCCCACAGTCATGTGCGAATTACACAAGGGAATTCTGTGGACATCTCCAAATAAGCCCATCTGCTGTCACTTGGAATTCTCGGATTAAAAGTTTACACGTCAAATGAATGAGATGTTGGAAGTCGTGCACTTCCACTTCCCATTCGTACAACCCAATCCAGGAATACTGACATACGTCCCTCATCGTTTTGCAGCCTACAAGCTTGCAGTAACAATAGGCCATGCAGAGAAGTATTCTTGTTCATTGATCCCGTAGCTCGGGGGTGCGGATGAGAGGAATGTCCTGTTCTCCGAGCCGGGCATTTCGGTTGAAGACCTTTCGTTGCCAAACTAGGCACCATATTCAGTGCAGCTATTCTGTCTTGATTCGCTGTCTCGCAAGCCAATGTCAGATCCGAGTGACTATTGATCGTCGCCTGCTTCGAATGTCAGCCTTCGAAGGCTGACTGACTATGTTGCCTAGTTTGGCGACGAAACGTCTGCAACCGAAATGCCGGGCTCGGAGAACATGAAAATCCTAACCAAAGTTTTCTTTTGGTGGTACCCATTCACATACATTTAGCCACGCAATACACTAGTATCTCGGAATCTGTGCGCAGATATTAGTCGAATCTGCAGTTCCCTCTTGCAATGGTTGCGCTTGATTGATTCGCGGACGATTCGTGCGGCAAGGTATCTCACTGTAAACTTTTAAAAGATGCATTACTCAAGGGATGTCAGCGTGTGAGAGTGAAAACTAATTTAGCATAAAACTAGATGACGTTTACCATGCGAATTGTAGCTAATTTAGCAAAAGGAAATTGTGTTTTCTCGTATTCTGCCTCTCAGTGGTGAATAGTTTGTGAGCAGTCAGTAGCCCTCTTGTTACTGATACAATAATGCCCAAGTTCGTTTATGTTCGAAATGCATTTTATCACTGTGTGGCCTTATTTTAACTCTGCGCTAAACTCTACCATCCAAACGTTGAGTTTTGTCCAAATAATTTGTGCTGGGGAAATTTAACAGAGCTACACATAGTAATAGTGCTCCGGGAAAGAAACGCAAACTCTTTGTACTAAACACACTGTCATAGAAGTATGCTGTGGTCCATTCATTGGTCTGTAAGTTACTGCTGCAGAAACCGGTCTGAACATAAGTGCATTGGATAAGCCAGGACATGTTAAAGACCATAGTGTACAAACTCTTTGCAGCGTGTTAAGAAGGCGCAGAAGCTGCTTAAGATGCATTCTGCTTTCAATCTAGCAAACACAAATGTTTGATCACACAAAACGAACAAAGCGCTTACTTGCTGTACACATTTCTTGATCTTCGTCGTACACATCCGGACAATCCGGTTCACCGTCGCATATGAGGGCGAAGGATAAGCAGATATTCGGTGTACGACATGGCCATGGTTTACTCTCCGGACAATCATTTCCGCGATTTCCTGACTCTATCCCATTAGTCAAGGGAAGAGAATAAAGAGTTTCGTGTTAGGGAACGATAGGATTAACCGTAGTATTTTTCTTTATTTCATCTCCAACCCTTTACTATAGCCTAACCGTCCATCCCACTAGCGTAGAACATAAATAAGCTCATCTAACTTGTTATTTAGTCACAATATGTCAATATATCTGTAGAAAAACAAACTAGTCTGTAAAAACAAACATTCCTCTTCGTTGCGCTCTGTTTGAAAGAAGAGGCGGTCTCAATTTCAATCTACAATCATCGCAGCGAGTGGGATTATTGCGGTTCGTCTTACAGTAGATAACAAGAGAAAACCTGCATATGTATTGACCAGACTTACCATGTTGTGCTCGATTGGTGACCAATTATATCTGCAGAGTATTGACAAATGCTAACTCCAGAGTTACCGCTTAACTCAATGGCACATTTTCCAATATTCTATTACCCGAGAGTAATAAGGAATCTGGCATCGGATCTGTTGAACTTTATAGCTAATAGGCAGTGACACTGCTCCATTTTCCCAATCACACCTGCCGTGAAATCATCGCGAAATTTATCTGCTTCTGTACGGGGGCAAATGGGTGATAGATGAATAATGGCCAGTTTAAGTGAGCGGTATCCAGTCCGACTTTTGCTTACACTAAGATCACGCAGTCGATACGTCGTGATGAGTAGCAGCAGAAGCTTTTCAATGATTGCATGAAAACGCGTTTATAGATGTTACGACACTGCCACCACGATTCCGGTACGTGCATGGTCGATAAGCGCAAGAAGAAGCAAAGCGGTCAACTGCAACTGTGTCACCTTCATCATTCTGATGGAGCCATTTCAGTTACCGAGAACGGATTTCTTTTTGTGCGTATTCACAATGGTTAATAATGTCGGTATGGTGGTCCATTTCCCCCTTTGCGAACAGTGATTTGATATTAGAAGCGTGTGTATGCTCACCGTTGTTGCGTTTTACTTCCTGTGAGCAATACCCCACCCAGCATAGTGCTTTTTCAGAGATTTATTCTGCTTTTTCGGTTTTTTTTACTTTATTCGTGATGAATTATCGTCGTTAGCATGAGCGGATACACTTAAGGATTTCAGAATAGTGTGGATATGATTTATTATGGTGCATCTTTTAGAAAAATCAGTGGGTGAGTAAAACAGTTAGCTTTTAGGAAGTAACGTCGAAATCGCATGAATAAATCCTTGAGGGAGGATTCCGTAGAGAACGACCAAATTTGAAGGTCCCATCTCAGTTCCTAGCTGACATTCAACTATGTAATGTGTGCTTCTTCCGCAAAATCGGGCAGCAGAACCCGTTTATAGGAACTCACACCCTAAGATTTCGGGAAAATAATAATAATTAAACGCGAGACAGCGTAGGTTTGGTCACATTGTTTAGATTCAGGAATAAATTAGGGAAATGCTTCCGGTTTCAAATGAAACAAGCTGTTTAAAGGGGGAAAACCTACTGGAGACTTTTGTTTTGTCAAGCTACTGATAAAGAGTTATCTGTCATTTGAGGGGTTGAGGCATGTATTCGGAAATCCAACGTAAATGATGCATCAGTCTTTCGGTTGCAACGTTTGCGCAGATCCAATCAGACTGTCACACGCCAACCAGTCATAGGTGAGACATCTGCCAGTAAACCATATAACCTAACTTTGACCATACATAGATTTAACCTGCAATCTCTCTGTAGCAATACTGCCGATCCTATTCAACCCACCTACTGATAGCAGTTCAGGTCGCAAAAATTGCGACGGAATTAACGAAGACAATATTGACAATAGCAGAAGACGAACTCCTGTGATTTTTCAGCAACAATAGTTATAATCCAAAGCCGCTCAATTCACAGTAATGTATACTATGAAACGCAGCCTATCAATAGCTTTCAAGAACAATGCACCGCAAAAGGAAGGAAATAATGTCATCATCATCATAATTACACATTAGGTGATAGTGAGAAACCCTTCAATTATTGTGCTGAGCAACATAAAGATAATGCATACGAAAAAGCAGCATAGTGAAAGGTATCCAATGAAAATATTCAGGAAACACACTACTTGGCAAGAGAGAGATCGTGCTTGGAGGGGAAGCTGAAGGGAAGGGGAGGGACAAAGAGACTCAAAACACATATGCCATTGAAGTCGACTCTTCGCCATGTTGGCTAGTGTATCCAACCAAACGTGTTCATCAGTCAGGAAATACCAAGCGATGCCAACTTTAAGTGAGAGACTTCATTCCCCTTGCCCAGCTCATTTCTTTGTCACCCGTCCAGTTCATCCATCTATAACGCAGGCGCACGACGCCTGATTCGGTAGACTGGCATACGCAGCACGTGGTTAAACCATCAGAGTTTTGTGCTTCATATCACGGCGTTGAGCGGTTCACTCGATCTCCCGCATCAAATACGCGGCGCCGAACACGCTCATTGTTTACGCAGTGCTCCCACTAGGCGTGAGCAAAGTCGCAGACAGCGATGATCGAATGTGACTAGTCTCTTTATGCCTGTTGACTTGATGGGCCAGGTTTTGCAAACGTATAGTAGGGTTGGGCGGAAGCCTACATTGTATTCCCTGTGATTCAGAGCGAGAGTGATATCGCACTGGTGCCACAGGTGATGGAGATTGGTAAAAGCGTCTATAACTTTTGCTATACGGGTTGTGATCTCATCTTTCATTCCACTGGCGTTGATATGGTTGCAAAATACTTTAATTTTTCGACGACTTTAAGCTCATTCCCACCAAGCGTCAGGGCAGGGGTGAGTATCGGCCAATTTTGGTGAAGCAGTTTGCACTGCGAGGTTGCAAAACATAGCCAACGCTAATTTGTCAAGAAACCAGCGTGAAATCAATTGTTTCCACAAGCCACGTTCCCTGCATGCTCTTTCATCTGGAGTCACATCTGAGCCCTACTTCAAACGAAATGCATGCAGAGCACGAACACTGATTTGGAATTTGTTGGTCACGGAACGTGACATTCTTATACATTACATTTGCCAAAACATCCAGTTGACAAGGTGTGTAGATAAAAAGGGTATCAGCATTCCCCACATAAGCATCTCTGCAGCGAGTTTGCACATCATTTCATACCGTTTGTTCCAGCGATCCGCCGACGAGTTTCAGGACCGCATTGAATTTTACCCAAAATTCTGCATATATATATATGTATATTGTTGCAGGCGTCCGATATTGAAAGTGCCTGTCATTGCGACCTCCATCGAGCAGCCATAGGATCCCTGCGCCTACACGGGGACTATGGGTGACATGCGCTACACAACACTCAGCTACATCCGCATACCACATATCCAGTGTAAAGCTGAAGGAATGATCGCGATGCAAGTGGATGGGAGCAACGTTTCATCAACGGAGCCTACCCATTCTGCTAAAAAAAGCGCAGCAGCGCAGGGAAACAAGCGTACCAAACGTAGACAAGGTATTGGCTGGGCCGTAGTCAGTTCCATACAAGGTGCATGGAATCAATGTTTGAACCTAGAACTTTCACGAGGACCGTGCACCCACTATTTGCAGCAACGACCAATTCTCTCCGAGAAGCAGTATTATCGAGGAGGCACCTTGTTGACGTTCACATCAAGCGTAACCACACTGGGGATATCAAATGACCCACATGGAATGTGAAACAATATAAACACGCAAACTGGATAGTAAGTGTGCGGCAGTACAGCAGAACAGAGGGGATACCAGTAAGCAACAAAGATGCGAAAGCAGGCGCAGCATATACGAGGATGATTCAGAGGTTTAACATAACTGAGCATCATCATCATCATCATCATCATCATACTCTTTAGCTAGAGGCGGGGAATACCTCAGCTGCTGTGCCGCAATACACAGAAAAAAGGAGAAAAAATTGCAACTGGTGCAAGCCGGCTGAGCTACCGTTAACGGATGGGCATCGTTCCGGTAAGCTACCAGTCGGTTACCGTGCATCAAAAAATTACTATGCGAAATTATATAAAGCTAAATAATGAGATCGTGGTTGGAGGGGGAGGCTAAGAGGGATAGGGTGGGACGAATAAACTCAAGGCACGAACGCCTTTGAGGTCGGCTCCTAGCCATATCAGCAAGTGTGTCCAACCAAACGTGTTTGTCGTCATTCAGACCTCAACCAGGGAGCCGAGACCACCTTTGAAGTGAGAGCCTTCATTCCTCTCGACCGAGTCATCGCTTGACCATTCCTCCTCTTCTTCCATCCACACCCCCGGGTGCGCAAACAATACACGTCGCGGGAGTCGGTGGGCTGGCATGCGTAGCACATGGCCGAGCCATCGGGGCCTGGTGCGGGAAATAACGGTGCTGAGCGGTTCATTTCCTTTTCCTGTGCCGTAAACAAGGCGTCGAACACGCTCGTTGCTCACGCGGTGTTCCCACCAGATGTGAGCTAAATTACGAAAGCACGGGTGGTCGAAAGTAACTAGTCTCTTCAGGTCCGCTGCTTTAAGTGGCCAGGTTTCACGACCGTACAGTAGGGACATAATTGAGCAAACAACAGCAAACGAATGCAGTCAGTTCTAACGTAAAGCTGATGAAGGGTAAATCTATGTCTAAGTCGCTGTTGTTTAGCCGCGGTGAGGAAGCATAATAATTACAACACCGGCCTCAGCATGGGACAAGATAGCCCTGTGCAGGAACTTACTTACATCCTCTAGTTAGGTTACTGCTTTTTTAGTAGTATGGACGGCTAATGACTCCATTCGTATGTGCTCAGAATTTTCCGCAGGTCCTAATAAGTCGATAATTAATTAATTGCGACAAGGCACCAGCTTGATCAAAATCGGTCGTCGATTTGTACTTGATGCTAAACACGTACGAAGGTCACGGTAATCCCCGTCTTTGGGGACGGATTGTGGTGGTTCCCGGGGTACGTTTATGTGAGCCGAATATGGTTAGTAACGACTGGCGATTGGGAAGCGGCATGAAGAGTCTATCATACACCAATTTGGGCAACTTTTGAACAATAAACGCGATAGCTAAG